GGACCCCAGCATGCAGGAGCAAATAATTTTCAGTAACCACGAGAGGCTGGCTCACCCTGATGACAGTGACCAGCACCCCACCTTGGTCTGGCACCACCACTCACCTGCTCCACCATCCCTCCGCAGCCGAAGCCTGCCATGTTCCACGCTCTGGTGTCTGCTGCTGACGCCTGCCATGTTCTGTACGCAACCCCTGGTGGTCATCGCACATCATAGCAACTGTTTGTTTGGTTGTTCTACTGTATGGCTATTTGCATATCAAGGTTCCATATATAGACTAGAGGCCTGGTGCACAAAATTCGCGTCCGGCACCAGCAGCGGGTACAAGCGGGTGGCTCTGGTGCCGGCAGTGGATGCAAGCAGGGTGGGACTACAGCATGTGGGACAAAAAATTTTCAGTAATCACCAGAGGCTTGCCCCGATGAGCCCGGCACCAGCAGCGGGTACAAGCGGATGGCTCTGGTGCTGGCAGTGGATGCAAGCAGGGTGGGACTATAGCATGTGGGACAAAGAATTTTCAGTAACCACCAGAGGCTAGCTCACCCCAATGACAGTGACCAGCGCCCTGCCTTGGTCTGGCACCCCCACTCACCTGCTCCACCATCCCTCCGCAGCCGAAGCCTGCCATGTTCCACGCTCTGGTGTCTGCTGCTGACGCCTGCCATGTTCTGTACGCAACCCCTGGTGGTCATCGCACATCATAGCAACTGTTTGTTTGGTTGTTCTACTGTATGGCTATTTGCATATCAAGGTTCCATATATAGACTAGAGGCCTGGTGCACAAAATTCGTGCACTGGGTGGGAGGCAGGGGCTCCCTCAGACCGGCCTGCGCCCTCTCACAGTCCAGGACCCCTTGCTCCTTACAGCCCACCTGCATGCTGCTCCTTACTGCTAGGCTCCTTAGTGCTGCCGCCCCTGCCCTCGCCAGCCGTGAGCCCTGCTCCTGGCTGAGCAGCGCTCCCATTGTGGGAGCTCACTAACAACCAGGGGCCAGCTCCTGTGTTCAGCATCTGCCCCTGGTAGTCAGTGCACATCATAGCGACTGGTCATTCTTTCTTTTTTTTTTTTTAACAGAAGGGCTTGACCACAGGTGCGCTGGCAGCATCAGACGATCCCTCAGAATGGGAGAGACCAATCCCGAGGGGCAGGTCCCTGGGCCAAGTGTCCAGGAGCTCAGGCAGCCACAGGGGGCTCTTTTTTTAAAAAAATATATTTTATTGATTTTTTCTTTTTCTTTTTTTGTGACTGGTCATTCTTGTCGTTCTGCCTTAATAGTCGCTAAGGCTTTTATTATAGAGATGGTAGGTTTCATTGTTTGTTTTAGAACAAGGAGATCATATTATATGTATCACATAAATCAATTTGTCTTTTTCATGTACTCTATGAAGAATTTTCTACATAGATTACACAGGGCTATCTTATTCAAGGCATATATTGTATTCCATTGTGTGGGGTGTGCCATCACACATTAACCGTTCTGCCTTTGCCCAGCTAGGTGGTTTCATTTCTTTGCTATTTCATTTAATGCTGCAACACACTTCATTGTACATATATCAGGCTTTCTCGAGCCAGAACTTCTTTGGGAAGAATTCCCAGCAGTGAAATTGCTCTGTCAACAGATATGCGACTTTTGATTTTGATAGATACCTGCACATGCTCTCCGTTCTTGTTTCTCTCCTGTCCTCTTGGCTGCTTGCTCTTTCCTGAGCATAAGAAATGCGATTCTCTCAAACCTGTCACGCTGGTGTCTTGAGTGAGGCAGGTGAGAGCTGCCCCTTCTGTCCCTAACGGGGTGCAGAGCAGGTGACGGTCAGCACTCCGCGCGTACCCCTCTGAAGGGCACGAAGAATCGCTTGTTGGTGTTCCCTATGCGTCACCGAATGTTCACAAACGCGGCCAGGAAAGGGCCACCTTGGAGCCATCTCCTCGACGGAAAAGGGTCGAAAAGGCAAGGGCGAGGCAGCGATGGCCCCAGAAAGGGGTCGGGGGCAGGTGCCAGGGCGCAGTCAGCTCCTTCACTTCTGCTTGCCCAGCGGGCACCAGAGTTCACCCGACTGTCCCCACAGAGAGAAGGTGTGTAGCCGATTGAAAAGCATCATCGCGTTCGTGTTCGGGCCCCTTGGAGGCCACAGATAGGTACTGAACAAAGACCCGTCTTCGCGGATGTTAGAACCAGTACAGATGGTAGGCGTTCTCTCTGCACGACTCTATTTGAGATGGACGTGTACAGGGACTTGCCCAAAAGCAGTGGGGTTAGTGCTTACCTCCTCGGATATGTAGTGATATCTGTGAGTGGATGAGCTAACTTGTCCCCTTGTTCACCGTTGTTAATACCAATATATATCGAAGATTCATTTCACCCTGGGATAAATAGAAACGAAAAGTGCAGAGAGAAAAAGTCACTTCTAGCGGGAGACACTTGGAAAGCTTAATGAGAAATGTGGACCAAATGTATTTCACACACACACAGTCCTTCCCATGAAAGATGGCTCCTGATTCTGCATGTATGTCCTTGTCCCTGTATGTACCTCCCACATGGACAAGTGTGACCTGGCAGACAGCATGTTGTCCTGGTCCTGGCACCAAACTGTCGCCAAGAACGTGGTTACATGTTGCAGACCCAGCCTCTCAGGTGGAGGGAACCCTGTAGCTCAGTCCTGAGAAGGGGCGGGGCGCGGGGGGAGTCACGGTGCCTTAGGGATGGTCTGCTGTGGCCACGGAGTTTGCCAGCTGCTTGCTGTCCAGTCCCCCCTAAGGGATGCCCAGCCCGTTCTGAGGCCTCCATGTGACACAGGGGCAGGCCTTTCATGTGTCAAAGCAAGCATCATGGGTGACGACTAGCTAACCAGCAGCGTTTCAAGTTTAATGAACACATTCCCCAAAAGATAACACGAAGCCTCCTAGAGTTCACAATCTCAAAGGGAACAGCCTGTAAAACAAGGGCCACACAAGGGTAACTCTAGGGCTACAAGATGCAAAACAGGGTGGTGACAAATGTCATGAAATGGGCATAAGTCAGACTTTGAGCGAACATTGCAACAGGTAACATGGTTCATGGTCTGTGGGCGTTCCGGTCTTCACGCCACACCCGGATCGATAGCCCTCATCTTCTACGTGCAGCAGGTGAGTTTAGCAAGGATTCTATCGACTAGAACTAACTAAAACACAGAAATGGAGAAGGGGCATGAACAGGGCAGATCTTTTACACGAGACATTGCAGGGCTGGTCGTTTTCTGCTCCTTTTCCTCCGCAATCCCGTTTACAAGAACTTCTTGCTCTGGGACTGTGGGACCCTCCTTAGCCAAAGCCACTGCCCGGGGCTTTCCCGTGTGTGTGTGTGTGTGTGTGTGTGTGTGTGTGTGTGTGTCTGAGTCCCTGCCCCCAGGTGCGGAGACGCCCCTCCTGTCGTAGGGCCCGGCTCCTCCGCGGGGCAGCTCAGGGTCACGCACCTTCCCCGGGAAGCACCGCCCAGCCTCTCCCACGGATGCGTGTGGCCAGGTGCGTGTTCCCCTGACGGCCGTGCCTTCCTCCAGGTGCGGCTACATGATCGACAACGTGATTCTGCTGGTGAGCGGGGCGCTGCAGAAGAAGTCCGTGCGGGACCTGCTGGGGCGGTGCCACCCGCTGGGCCGCTTCTCGGAGATGGAGGCCGTCAACATCGCGGACACGCCGTCAGACCTCTTCCACGCGGTCCTGGTGGAGACGCCCTTAGGTACGAACGTGGGGCGGCGCTCGCTGCCTGTGCGGTCACTGCCATTGGGAAGTGTGCCCCCATGGCACCGTGCCCCCGTGAGCACAGCACCAGTGGAGAGGGTGCTGGGAGTGGGGGTCCTGAGGAGCCCTCCAGCCCAGCCCTCCTTCCTCAGCCAGACAGGACGCCCCTGAGGTCACCTCGCCGGCAGCCCCGGGAGGGAGCCGTTCAGCTCCAGCGCCACCCACTGGGCCCGACCCGGCAAGCACCACAGGCCTTGTCGCTGGTGGAGCCCTCCCTTCCGAGGTGCAGTTTAGAATCAGCGCCTCCCCTTCCCTGTAGTCGCCGGTCTGCACAGGCTTCTGGAGGGCACGGGTGTCCGGCGCCCCGGAGTCTGTCAGCCCTGACGGCACGGAGATGCCACCGGCGCTGCCCACGCATCGCTGTGAGGAGGTCTGCACAGGAGCGATGCACTGCTGATCATTTAGCAAAATAGTCGCCATTTTGGACAAAAGTTTTAGAGAAAAATACATGTGCCATCAAGTGCCTGGTGCTGTGGTGCAGGTCCCGGGAGGGAGGGGCCTGGCACGGACACCGTGAGCGTGAGCGGCCCAGCCTGTCCCACCAGGCATGTGGGCAGCTCAGTCCCCTCACCCCACTGCAGAGCTCTGAACGCGAAATAAGACGTAAATAAGTACAACTCCATGTCGGCACAGAGTCAGGGCACGGGAGGTAAGTGTTACCACTGGGTGGCAGGAGACGGCAGACGTGAGCCTGGACGTGGGCACTGCCCACGCTGGGCACCCGCTAAGCCAGTGAGCCACATGCTGTGCCCACACAGCCGTGAGTACCTAAAGTGGTCGGGGCGGTGCCGCGTGGCCGTCCTGCGGTGGAAACCCCGCGTCCTCCTCGTGAGCAAGGCGGTGAGTTCAGGAGACTCCGCTTGCAGTCCTGCTTTTCACTGACTCCCCTGTGGTGACTTCCGTTCCAGCGCCATTCTTCCAAGACTGCATGTCTGAGAACACACTCGATGAGCTGAACATTGAAGTTCTGCGCAATAAGCTGTACAAGGTAACTGCTGTCTTTACCGCACACGCCGTCCTAGCCAGGGCTCTTGTCAGAAGCAATGCCCCCCTCCCCCCACCCCCGCTCCCCATGCACGGCGAGGCGAGGCGAGGCCTGTTGGAGCATGCGTGTCCGCTCCCGGGCAGGAGGTGGCTGAGAGGAGGTCACAGCCCATGCTCTGTGTCCCCAGGCCTGGCTGGAGCGTAAAGGTGGCGATGGGCAGGTGGACAGGAAACAGCCGGCATTTACAGGGCACCTTCTGTTAGGCAGAGCTCACCTCTGTCCTCCATTCTGTGAGAGTCCTGGATGCGGCTACCTGTCCCACAATTGTCATCCACTGACAGTGGGCAGCGCACCGAGATGACCAGCTGGCGGGGCGTCCTAGGTGCCACTCGCATAATCTGGCCACTGTCTGGACAATGCGGCCCCGTCCAGACCTCTCTGTGTAACAGGCACTGAGTAAGCTCTGTCCTTGCACTTGGACGACCACATGGCCTTCAGAGCAGCTGAGTGAACATGGGTGCCACCCTCTGTGCAGCACGCCCTGCTGCAGCGCAGGGTCCTCCCCGAAGCACTGCATTGCAGGCATCGTCCTGGTTATGAATATGGGTTACAGAGGCTCCCTGACACAGCCAGCGGAAGGCCCTGTCCAAGCAACATAGAGCAACCCACTCTACCCAGCTAAACGGTGTGGCTCCTCTCCTCAGACGAGACCAGGGGGCGTGGGGTGAGGCGACGTGGCGAAGCAGTTCCCTAGTGAGTACACTGTGGGCTCGGGCCCAGGGGGCGGTGACTGCAGCCAGGTCTGCCTTCCACCCCGTGCTCAGAGCCCCCCCAGCTGAGAAAGGGCTTGGAGGGCTTGGCACTCTTGGTAGAGGAGCCAGAACAGCCAAGTGAGGTCACGGAGATCCACGCAGAAAAGCGATGGTGAGTGGTTTCGAGGCGAGATAAGCACAGCTGTGTTCTTTCGTGGAGGTCCTTCTTCAGACTGTGCCACGGCATTAGTGTGAACACTTCCCCCATCTACTCTCTCTCCCCTGGGAGAAGTGGTTCGACTCCATGAAAGCGCTGAATATGCCATGAAAAGCAGATCTAGACATGTCCACAAGGAGCAGAAGGTCACCCTGTTGCTTTATGGTCTCTTCCTTCCCAGTCTTACCTGGAGGCGTTCTATAACTTCTGTAAGGACCATGGTGACGTCACAGCAGAAGTCATGTGCCCCATTCTCGAGGTAAGAACACGTCCGTGAAGCGTGAAGCGTTCGTGCCAAACGTGTGCTCCCACGTGTTTCATTTCTGTCATCAGACTGATACTGCCGTAGCGCAGAAGCTCCTTCATCTAAAGTGAAGCGAGCAATGCATTTTTCTCTCTGTATGGTATTTGATCTCTTCCGTTAACAGTGGTATTTTCTGGCCCTGGCTGAGTAGCGACATTGGTTGCGGGTTCGATTCCAGGACAAGGCACATACCTAGATCGAGGGTTCTCCCCCTAGTTGGACATATAAGGAAGGCAACAGATCTCTCTCCTCTCTCTCTCTCTCTCTCTCTCTCTCTCTCTCTCCCTCAAATCAGTAAAAACATATCCTTTGGTGAGGATTCAAAAAAAAAGAGTGATTTTCCAAGTTTCCTACATTGAAGAGTTGTTGTAGATTTAGGAAAGAATAACACATAACAATGTGATCATGCTTGCTGTATAATATGAAGAAAGGTCATAATTAGTGAAAAGTTAGTAAGCTATGGCAATTACATGCTATAGGAATCAGAAGGACCCCCAGCTTCCCTCCAGCGAGGGGACATGGTCCCTGTAGGAGCCCTCCCCTAAAGGCCGTGCGTGCACCCAGCTCGGGGGGAGGGACGGGGGAGGGCTCAGCGCTGGCTTCCACCTCTCTGACTGGAGCCATTATACGTCTTAACTCCCTTTGTCGTCAAAGGGGAATCTCGCCTGTGCCCGAGGCCTCTTGTTTCAAACATCACTGCAAATGCTCAGAAAGCCAGGCACTCAGGGCCTCGGGCATCTGGGCACAGTTGGCATTCAACGCAGCCTCTGGCTGGCTTCCTCAGACACTTGGACTTAAAAATTAATGTATAATTTAAATAAATATATAACTTACAATAAATATGTAACTTAATTTTTATTGATTGTAGAGAGATAGAGGGAGGGAGAGAGAGAGAGAGAGAGAAAGAAAGAGAGGAGAGTAACATCGATTAATTGTCCCACTTATCTGTTTGTTCATTGGTTGACTCTTGCATGAGCCCTGAGTGTGGATCGAACCCGCAACCTTGGCGTATCAAGACAACGCTCCAACCAACTGAGCACCAGCCAGGGCAGGATAGAATTTAATTCTAAGTTATAATAGTCTATTCTGGGTTTAGAAAGCCCTGTGAAAACAATTTTTATCCAAAGACTACCTTTCATCATTAGGTTATCTCTTGCTCTGACTTCATTGGTGGGCAGATCCTTGAATAAGGATCGATGACTTCTGAATTCAAGAGAAACCTGAGGAGAACTACCCTTTAGGCAAAAGGGCGGGGAGGGGCACCTGAATACCTTCACCTGCACGTGGTGTAGCGCACGGTCCTGGACGGCACCTGGCGGCATTAGTTCCCCAAAAGCAGCTCATCCTCCCAGGGTCACAGCTAGAGACACTGCCGTCCCTGTGGGCACAGAAAGTGAGCAGCCTGAGGGTGTGTCACTGGCCACTCCAACAGGCCTTTTCCTCGTCTGTTCCACCCAGAGGCTGGGGCTCGATGAGTAAGGAACTTTTTAAGGTGCACACGTCAGGACTCCTGGTCCCATCACACACATTGGCAGCCTGGTGACCCGATGAAGCGCTGTCCCTTCTCCTCCTGAATTTAACTACTAGCCGTGCCCGAAGCAGCCACACTATCCAGGGCTCAAACACAGTGTCCGCATTCCTGATTCCCATGGCTTAGAAACGGTTCTTACACTTTACACCAACAAAACTGGAATTGGAGTCACGTTGAGACAAAAGGTATACAGCAGCACTGGAACCAGCCAACACTCAGTGCGTGCCAGATACTGTCCTAAACGTCACACACATGGATCCCCTGGACTTCAGCATAGCAGAGATGAGTAGTTTAGCGTCTATTTTTCAAGAGAGGTAACCGAGGCACAGAGGCCTGATGTCACATTAGGGGAGGCCAGGATGGGAACTCGGGCATCCTGGCCCCCGGCTCCAGTTCCTACATGTTCATCCGCTTCTGCAGTAAGTGCACAATCCTTACCCACAGGAAGGATGAGCTATCAGCAGGATCACACCGCGTGGGCTGCAGGGCCCCAGAACCCCACAAGAACAGTCTCTTGGCAAGGACCGCGTAAGACTGAACACAGGCTGTCACTGGGCCGGTGGGACCGGCTGCTGAGACCCAGGTTCTCACAGCCATTTCCTGTCCCTTAACCTACCACACTAGGTTAGGTTTTTCTCAAGCTGCGATAAAAACAAAAATCCATTTAACCGTCTTCATACATTTATGTAGAAACATCGGTTACATGTGGCATGTGATTATGTTTTTTAAAATACATTTTATTGATTTCAGAGAGGAAGGCGGAGGGAGAGAGAGAGAAACATCAGTGATGAGAGAGAATCATTGATCGACTGCCTCCTGCACGCCCCACACTGGGGCTTGAGCCCCAACCCAGGCACATGCCCTGACCGGGAATCGAACCGTGACCTCCTGGTTCCTAGGTCAACACTCATCCACTGAGCCACACCAGCCGGGCTGATCATAACGTTTCTTGATGTGACCAGATTTGTCAGGTTTATAGCAGCATTAGATCCCGTAACCTCCCCTTTATCTGGGTAGTTTATGACATTCTCACGCATGTGGTCTCGTGCTCTCTCGTGTGACAGGACAGACTCACAAGTGGAGGGTGTTACCTGGGCTTGCATGCGAACATTTGACTGAATTTGAAGACTGTGACTTCGTATAGAAAGTTAGCTTGTGTCCAGGGCACCCCTGCTGTCTGTGTGGCTAATGCCGCAGGACAAAGAGCCCAGAACATGCCGTCTGGTCTCCTGGTCAGTACACAGCTGACAGGCCCAGCCTGCTTCCGGTTCTTGTCACTGTCCTCCACAGCCCTGGGCCACCCAGCTCCCTGCCACTGTCCCTCACCCCTGCTCCCTGCGCTTTCCCCACCCCTGCTCCCTGACGCTGTCCCCAGCCCTGCTCCCTGAC